TATCGGTAAAACCGATAATCGGTCGATCCCTAGTATATAATATAGTGTGTGTATATAATGCAGTGTGTTTGTGTAGTGTGCATTATATAAACACTACACAAACACACTGCATTATATACACAGTGTGTTTGTGTAGTGTATGTGTATATAATGGAGTGTGTGAGGGGGAATTTTTTATTAAATTATTTTTTTTATATTTAATTATTATTTAGTTTTATTGTTCCCCCCTCCCTGGTTTGTAATGAGCCTGTCGGTCCTTGGAGGTATTATCGGCAACATCAGTATCTGAATTGGCAGATATCGATATTGCCAAAAATACCGAATATCGGCAGATTATATCAGTAAAACCGATAATTGGTCAATCCCTACTACCCACAATGCTTCTGTATGAGGAACCTCACAGAAAGAGAAACTGCAGCCATCATGGACAGAGGGGAACAACATGGAGGCAGCAGGATAAAGATAAATATAGAGAAAGGCACAAGGGCGCTAATCATGGAGATACAAGGGAGAAAATAAACATGGCATGTAAATACCCCATTAACATCCCTTCCACTGTGATCACCCCCCAATCCTCCTGTGCTCTATGCATCTGGCCTATTAACGATCCCAAACATCATGTAATGCCCCATTAACCCCCCCATGCCCTGTGTAATGCCCCATAAACCCCCCCCATACCCTGTGTAATGCCCCATAAACCCTATATGTCATGTGTAATGCCCCATTAACCCCATATGTCCTGTGTAATGCCCCATTAACCCCCATGTCCTGTGTAATACCCCATTAACCCCCATGTCCTGTGTAATACCCCATTACCCCCCCTGTCCTGTGTAATGCCCCATTATCCCCCCCATGCCCTGTGTAATGCCCCATTAACCCCATATGTCTTGTGTAATGCCACATTAACCCCCAGGTCTTGTGTAATTGCCTCATTAACCCCATATCTTGTGTAATTCCCCATTAACCCCCCCATGTCCTGTATTATTGCCCCATTATCCCCCATGGTCCTGTGTAATTGCCCCATTAACACCATATGTCCTGTGTAATTGCCCCTTTAACCCTATATGTCCTGTGTAATTGCCCCAAAACCCCCAGGTCCTGTGTAATTGCCCCATTAACCCCCAGGCCCTGTGTAATGGCCCCATTGACCCCCAGGCCCTGTGTAATGGCCCCATTGACCCCCAGGCCCTGTGTAATGGATCCATTGACCCCCAGGCCCTGTGTAATGGATCCATTGACCCCCAGGCCCTGTGTAATGGATCCATTGACCCCCAGGCCCTGTGTAATGGCCCCATTGACCCCCAGGCCCTGTGTAATGGCCCCATTAACCCCCAGGCCCTGTGTAATGGCTCCATTGACCCCCACCACCAGGCCCTGTGTAATGGCCCCATTGACCCCCAGGCCCTGTGTAATGGCCCCATTAACCCCCAGGCCCTGTGTAATGGCCCCATTAACCCCCAGGCCCTGTGTAATGGACCCATTAACCCCAGGTGTAATGGCCCCATTAACCCCCAGGCCCCTGTGTAATGGCCCCATCAACCCCCAGGCCCTGTGTAATGGCCCCATCAACCCCAGGCCCTGTGTAATGGATCCATTAACCCCCAGGCCCTGTGTAATGGCTCCCATTAACCCCAGGCCCTGTGTAATGGCCCCATTAACCCCCAGGCCCTGTGTAATGGCCCCATTAACCCCCAGGCCCTGTGTAATGGCCCCATTAACCCCCAGGCCCTGTGTAATGGATCCATTAACCCCCAGGCCCTGTGTAATGGCCCCATTAACCCCCAGGCCCTGTGTAATGGCCCCATAACCCCCAGGCCCTGTGTAATGGCCCCATCAACCCCCAGGCCCTGTGTAATGGATCCATTAACCCCCAGGCCCTGTGTAATGGCCCCATTAACCCCCAGGCCCTGTGTAATGGCCCCATTAACCCCCAGGCCCTGTGTAATGGATCCATTAACCCCCAGGCCCTGTGTAATGGCCCCATTAACCCCCAGGCCCTGTGTAATGGCCCCATTAACCCCCAGGCCCTGTGTAATGGCCCCATTGACCCCCAGGCCCTGTGTAATGGATCCATTAACCCCCAGGCCCTGTGTAATGGCCCCATTAACCCCCAGGCCCTGTGTAATGGCCCCATTAACCCCCAGGCCCTGTGTAATGGCCCCATTAACCCCCAGGCCCTGTGTAATGGATCCATTAACCCCCAGGCCCTGTGTAATGGCCCCATTAACCCCCAGGCCCTGTGTAATGGCCATATTAAGTCACTGAGCTCCTATTTATTCCGTGTGACAGTTAATTCCCCCCCTCCCAGGTAGGAGAGCTGACAGTCCCAGCATGGCGCACAGCTTACCCTCGGCCCAGGCCAGCCCTGAACGAGCTGAGACCCACCGGCTCCACAGGGGGAGAGGGGATGAACGGCTCGGCCCATGTCCCCAGCAGTTTGACATCTTTCACCGTCTTCCCGATAGCAAACCAGTCCGTGACCTGCTGCTCAGTCAGCTTCCGCAACATGGCGCCGCCCTGACCGTCCTGCTCGGAGCCAGGGGTCACGTGATCACAACATGGCGCCGCCCTGACCGTCCTGCTCGGTGCCAGGGGTCACGTGATCACAACATGGCGCCGCCCTGACCGTCCTGCTCTGAGCCAGGGGTCACGTGATCACAGACCAGGCCATGTTTTAGTGTCTCACAATCAACAAACAATTACTGTTGCTGAATCCATTGATGTCAGATACGGGATTCTGAAATTTGAAGTATTTTAAAACATAACATGGCAGAAATGTTTCAAACACCTCCTCATAGTCTATGAAATCAGCCTCACCTCAAACCTCCATGGCAGATACAGTCAGGGTCATTCACTAAAGTGTCAACTGCTGGGAATTCACTAAACATAGCTGCATTTCAAGTTCAGCAGTTGTGGCATGAAATTTTAAATTAATTTAGAATTCCCAGCAATTCGCGCTGACACGGTTTATTCACTAAACTGCTGATTGTCAGGATTTCAAAATTAATTATAAACATTTGTGCAAATATAAGCAAACTGAAGTAATATCTGACTTGGTGAAAACTCAAAATTTTCTTATTTGGCCTGAAATTCAAAATTCACTGACACCCAAATACCCCAGTCCACATTTGCAAAGCTAGTGCAAATCTGTTCACCTGCATTCAGACAGCAACATCTAAATATTGTTCAAACTCAAGCATTGTAATCTTCAAATGAGGGTTAATCATGTTCGGTTTTTAACCTATCCAGACACACCGAACAACTAAAAACAGCTTCTGTATGAATTAAGCAGCAATGTCAGGTTTTTTGGGGGGGATGGAGGGTGTCTGCTACCCCTTGTATTATAATGATTATACTCACTTATTGCCATTTGCCTTTGTTCATTTTCATAATTCTTTCTTCATTGTGCCAAATCTCAATATCCAGATGTTGTTCACCTCTGATCGTGATGGCTGCAGATTGTATTTCTTTGGGATCCATTTGACTAATGGATTGTGGATAAATTAGCTTAGCAACTGAAATTAACTGTGTGATAGCTAGCCAACTCCTGCAGGCCAGCGCTCCAGTAGAAATTTAAAAAATGCTCATGGGATCAATATCACCCCAATATAACGAATGGCGTGATATTGACTGCCCTGGGCACTCGAATGGAGTATAAGAATAAGTGGGGATTTCCTTTCTATGGTTATCCCGTACACCCCCTCCAATTGCCAAGTGAGTAGGTTTGCAAAAATGAGATCGGGTCCGGTAAATAAACAGTGTTGTACGTCCATCACCCATGGGTTGTGACTGGGGGCCATAATATAATAATAGGGGAATGGACATAATTGACCATGGGTGAGAGGGTAAAGGGATGGACATCGAAGTGGTGATGAATAAATCTAATAAATGGGGATAAACATGCAACTGTCAAGCGCCCCTCCATCTCAGCCTTGGGCATTATGTGAATAAAAATAGGTGTAAAAACCTACACGTACCAGGAGATCCCTAAACCAATAAAAGATGGAGGCTAATATTCCTATAGATAGCGCTAAAAAATAAAGTGCAAAATAGAACAGTACAATTGGAAGAATTTGAAATGACAGTAGCAAAGATATAAAAAGGTGGAATACGGGAGGCGGAGCCAGCAGCCGAACCAACAGGTTGCATCTGCAGAGAGCTCCTGGCGATATCGGCCTAAAAAGACAATCTATTGGAAATATCACACCCCAAAGCACCCCAGCGACCCACACAAGAAGCAGTAATGGGCAGGAAGACCAAAAAATCCAAACCCGATCTGCCCCGGCCGGGCGCCAGCATAGGAGACCTGTGGCGGCGGGCACATGGCGCACAAGAACCTGACATGGCCGCCTACATAGAAGGCCTAGAAGACTCAGACGACCTGCTCTCTGACCCAGAAGAATCCTGCTCACCCGCAAGGTGGCCGCCGGAGAAGCCTAACCCAAAGCCAGCCACGCGGCCTGAAACAGCTCCGGTCACGAAAGCTGAAATGAAGGAGCTGCTGGCGGAGCTCCGCCGGAATATTCAGGCGGACGTCGCTGATATGCGGAGAGACATAAAGGGCCTCACGGACCGTGTGAACACTGTGGAGCTAAATTCCCACACGCACGCTAGGAAAGTGACCTCCCTCCAGCAGGAGATGAAACAACTGCAACAGCAGCAATTGAAGATTGAAGGGGCTATGGCAACAATGGAGGATTCACGAAGCGCCCAGAACCTCAAGGTCAGGGGCATCGCAGAATCAATTCCAGACTCTGAACTCCCCCACCTCATGCGGCGCCTGGTGAGTACGATACTGCCACCAAAGCAAGCAAAGGGAGTGGGCCTCGACGGCATCTTTAGAATCCCTAAACCACCAACGGCCCCATCAGCAGCAACTAGGGATTTAATAATCAAGTTCCAGAAGCAACAAGACAAAGACGCAGTAATGGCTGCCATTAAGAACACTACACCGCTCACCTTTGAGGACATGACTCTCTCCTTTTACTCGGACTTATCTAGGGGGACCATGGCCTGGCGTTCAACCCTTAGGCCTTTCACCACACTGCTCCACGAGCGCGATATCAGATACAGATGGCGCTCACCCTACAAGCTTCAAGTGCTCCAGGGAGGCACCACGTACCTCATAGCGGACTTGCAAGAGGCGGAGGCCCACCTCTCCACTCTGGGACTCCCGGCAGATGCCATACGACGACACGTCACAAACCCCAAACCACACAAATGGAATCCGGCCACCTCCAAACCCTTTGTTCCTGGGGAGCCCACCCACACTGCACAGACTGTAGCCACCACCTAAGTGCCTCCGAAGAAGAAGGCCGAGCTTCACCGGTTACTCACACTGTTGTATTGAACTTCCTTTTCGTTAATTAACCACATTACGTTTGCATTTCATTTTGTATATAGTTTAGGTCTGACAGTACATTTCAAGGGGACAGGCCCGCTTAAGAGGCTCACATTTACCATGGGCGGCGCTGGGGCAGCACAATGCCATCAACTACGCCTGGCCCACGACGGACAGACCCAGGGGCTATCTGCGTCCCCGCAGGCCCTGCAGCAGGGACACTGCAAGACCACACACTACAGTATGTTTTACAGAATGGCCCCAGCAAATAACAGCAGAGCCGGTTTCATTGCGTTTACATATCATTTTGTATATAGTTTATGGTCTGACAGTACATTCTAAGGGGACAGGCCCACTTCAGAGGCTCACATTTACCATGGGCGGCACTGGGGCAGCACAAAACCATCAACCACGCCTGGCCCACGACGGACTGACCCAGGGGCTATCTGCGTCCCCGCAGGCCCTGCAGCAGGGACGCTGCAAGACCACACACTACAGTATATTTTACAGTATGGCCCTAGCAAACAGCAGCAGAGCTGGTTAGCGCAGGGGAGCATACACTGCAGTATATTACTCACAAGTAATTCACTTGTCATCCATTAATCTTAAAACAGCTACGTTTCCACTGCAAATGAGTCCCTATGCTTGACAGCACTACCTTTTAAAATTGTGCGAACCCCACTGACTGTCCTCAAAAGATAGAACAATATACACGTTGTTTACCTTTTAAATGCGTTTTCTCATTTAATAACTGCTAACCATGATCACAAAGCGCGACTACGAAAACATAGCAGAACTAGCATTCATGACTACTCGTCTGTCTATATAATGATATATTAGCTAATCTCACTACATCGATATGTATAGTTAAGCATAACCAACAAAAAAAAAAAAAAAATTTTGTGCGAATACGCATGTCACTGTAAAAAATGTTTTATATCTTGCAATACGCTGTTGTGGCGACCGTTAATGAAATGTACCTACCTGCACAACAAAAATAAAGAATTTAAAAAAAAAAAAAAGGTGGAATACAATCTGAAAAACGAACACTAGATGTCAGCCAAGTGTTAAGTAGTCTCACATAGAGGGGGAATGTTAACTAAACAATCAATGTTCAGCAGACATAAAATAGCAATGAAAAAAACAAATTTGACTTAAATGGTCTGTGGCTTAAATGTAGATCTGCACAGTCTCATCTATAATTCTACCCAGTATATTAATTTCTTGGGCATTATGTGTCGGGGTATTACACCAATAACAGCAAGCCATTATTCACTACCTATGGTTCTGATTCCCCCCGACTCCACCACACGTACAGGTCGATAAGGTGTGCAACCGTGGCAGTTTATAAAAGAGAGAAATTCTATTGAAATCTGTACTTTTTTAATATCTACATATTTAGATAAATAGATCTTACATTATTTATATTGTGAAACAGTACAAACAAAACAAGTCTTTAATGTTCAGCAGTAAGTAGACACAAAATAATGCAATACATTGGTACCATATATGAAGAGGATATGGGTTTAATTGCAGCAACAGCAGCACCAACATGTATAAGGATTACCACTGATAAAGAAACTCTAAAATTTAGATAGTAATTATAGCGGAGCTCCCTGTACCCCTCGCTGGGTACCTTCGCCAAGGACCGCTTTCTAGCTGGATCAGGGCACAAACCGATGCACTTCTGCCCACAGTAGCTGTGACTTCACTGGGGCCCTGGAACTGCTCCTTCCTTTAGCCCATGGGTCGTCAACCTGGTCCCTACCACCCACTAGTGGGCGTTTCAGGATTCCAGGTGGGCGGTAGGGATTTCAGAGATTGGGTGGGCGGGAAGGCGAGTGCCAGCCGGCGGTACCCCTGCGACCGGGTACCTCCGTCACCATTTGCGGCCCCGGCCCACGTGGCAAACCGCCGGGGCCGCCGTCCAAGGGGTCCATCAGGTGGCCCATGTTGTCAGGGCCACACGATGGATGTGGATTGACAGGGGGCCCGGTCAGCGCTGGGCGCTTTAACAGCGCGACCGGGCCCCCTGTTATTACATCACACGCTGGGAGGAAGTGACTGAGCGTCACTCCTCCCAGCTAACAAACAGACCGCGCGGGAGGAAGACCAGGGAGTGAGAGTAGGAACTCTGACTCCCATGCACCTGAGCCACCACTGGACCCCAGGGAAAGTCACACTCCTGCACCTAAAAGGTAGGAAACAGGAGGGTGACTAAAATATTTTGTGTGTGTTTGTTTGTGTGTATGTGTCTTTGTATGTATGTCTTGTGTGTGTCTATGTATGTATGTCTTGTGTGTGTGTGTCTATCTGTATATATGTGTGTATGTATGTGTGTCTTGTCTTTGTATGTATGTGTTGTGTGTGTGTCTTTGTATGTGTGTCTTGTGTCTGTATGTGTGTATGTGTCTATGTATGTCTTATGTGTGTGTCTTTGTATGTGTACCTGTCTGTATATATGTGTACCTGTCTGTTTATATGTATGTATGTGTGTGTGTGTGTGTCTGTATGTATGTGTGCGTGTGTCTGTAAGTATGTGTGCCTGTCTGTATGTATGTGTCTTGTGTGTGTGTGTGTGTGTGTGTGTCTGTATGTGTGCCTGTCTGTTTTTCTGTATGTATGTATGTATATATGTATGTGTGCCTGTCTGTGTGTCTGTATTTCTCTATGTGTGCCTGTCTGTGTGTCTGTGTGTGTGCCTGCCTGTTTGTATGTATGTGTCTTTTTATGTGTGTGTGTATGTATGTATGTGTGCCTGTCTGTTATAGTGGGCTATAGTAAGTGGGCTACCTAGCTAAGCCTTCCTACTGGGCATTGCTATAAGGAAGGTTAAAAAATAGAAAAAAGGGATAAAAAAGGTGGGGAGGGGAATTGAGGAGGGAGATGAGATGAGCTGACGCACCGATGAGAAATCATATTATGTGCAAGCTGAGAAGTCGTCTGAATATCACCGAAAGAGGAGACCTTCGTTTGGTCCTTACGAAAATCGAACCAGATATCAAATATTTAGTCTTGCAGCATCAACCTCAAGGATCTCATTAATCACTAGTAAAGGTAATTTCAATGTACTTTATTGTTTTCCAATTAAACTTTATAAAGTTAAAAACATTATAAACATGCATTAATTAGAAATTAAAAGATAAATGTACGTACATTTATTTTTCTTAAAACAGCCTCCTTTCTAATAAAATATTCCGCACTTGCGCGAAAACTGGTGGGCAGTATGGAAATTTTTCCATCAAGAAAGATGCATCAGTGGGCGGTAGGTAGAAAAAGGTTGACTACCACTGCTGTAGCCGAATGGGGAATTAGCTCTAGTCCTTTAAAGGACTTTCCCTGTTGAATCCCCTGCAAGCTGGAACAGCAGACACAGGAGTAAATCTTCTTTCCCTCCAATAACAGGACAACACACAGTATTGAAGTGTAAGCTGGTATAGATTTTAATGGTGCCACACTTGGCCTTTTATGCAAGTACCAAAGCAAGGGGTACGCCCACATGGACCTTGTTGGGGACAGGGACACAAATTTACAAACCAATAATAACACATTTAAAATGTAAGGCACTCCCACACAAAGCACACACTCCCTCCCCTCTGCTTGGGAGATAATTGGATCAGTAACTGTACTAATTCTAATCAAATTATCTCCAAGAACAGAAAAAACATACATTTCTAAGAAGTCCCAAAAGTACCCCAAAACACATGATATCCCCACAATTTACATCCCATAGTAGCCCTGATCTGGGTGACCAACATATCCAAAAATCACCCAGATCAGTTTAGGGGTTCAGGAATTTCCTGGAAGTCATAATTTTGACTGACCGTGCACATGACCGGTCCTATGCCCAAAACAGTTCCATGAAATCAGTACTAACAGTCGGTCAAGTTTGGTAGCCTTTTACAGGTTTCCCTGCAGGGACCATAGTCTGTGGGCAGGAGGCTGGCAAGCAGGCTCCTCCAGAAGCTCGTGGCAAACTCACATGGGAAGGGGAGTATGTCACAGTAATGATATCCATACATTTAAAGGAACACTTCAGAAACATAAAGCACTTCATCTTGCTTTGTGTGTCTAGAGTCTGTTATTTTTTAAATAGTTTGTAAAAATGTAGTTTTCAATAGAAATCAGCACTTTTATAACAGGACGGCGCATCAGCTCCCAGGCTGTCCGTGGCGCTGGCTTATCTTTCAAGGTTAAATCGTTCAAGAGCTCCCATGTCTTCTCTCCAGTCCCGGATCGCTTTTCCCCCAACAACATCCTCTTGCTGTAAAGCTTGAAAGCCGCTGATTGGCTGAATTTGTCAGCTGACCGCTTTAAGCCCATCAGTGGCGCCCCTTCCCGCTGTAGTCCAAGGCTTCAGTTTTCAAGCTTTCCAGCAATCAGATGTTGGAGAGGCCGGGCACAGCGATCCAGTGCTGGAGAGACTTTGCCGAACGGTTTAACCCCTAAAGTTAAGAAAGCGCCAGGAACCTCCGGGTACCATAACAACTGAATTTTATGAGGTTGTTATAGTGTCTGGATGCTCCCTTTAAGCATTGGTACAACACCATTGTAGATGCTGCTCGATGTTTGCTGACAAGCATAAAGTCCCCGATACTTCAGGATCCAGGCCCATTTGCTGATCCATTCTTACAACGCTTCTTTACTGGTGTTTTTAAAGTTAGAAAGGAGAACACAACGACTGTACATGGAGCTTTTTCCAAATGTTTTCATAGTCATTTGGTCACCTACGGCCCTGAAATCTGCACTTTTTGAAAATGAGAAGAAGAGACACTCCAAGAGTTATTCACTAAAGTGAGAATTGTTGCCAATTCATAGTGAATTTCAAATTTAAGGTCAAAGAAGCCTAACTGCACGTACAGACGTACAAACTCGTTTTCCTGGCACTTTTTGGTTAAAACCCCTTCAGCCAGTTTTATAGTTTTATACTAGTTGCCAAGTGTCGCGTTTTGTCCCGGCAAGCTGGAGTCTGTCCCGGGTAAATCACTCTCCCGAGAAAGTCCTGGCAACTTGCAGGGCCATGTGCTTTTATTTTTCCCCCCTCAGACTTCAGGAGAGAGATACAGGGGGCTATAGAGAGGTGCTGGGGGCTGTGGAGAGATGCTGGGGGTTATAGAGAGGTGCTGGGGGTTATATAGGGGTGCTCGGGGCTGGAAAGAGATGCTGAGGGCTATAGAGAGGTGCTGGAGAGAGGTGCTGGGGGCTGTGGAGGGGTGCTGGGGGTGAAGGGAAGTGCTGGGGGGGGGTTAAGAGAAGTGCTGGGGGCTGTGGATAGATGCTGGGGGCTATAGAGAGTTGCTGGGGCTATAGAGAGGTGCTAGGGCACCCAGACCACTTTAATTAGCTGAAGTGGTCTGGGTGCCTAGAGTGGTCCTTTAAGGATTATTAGCTGATTTAGAGACTTCTATTAAAAAAAAAAAAAAATACATGTTTTTAAAGGACCACTCCAAGCACAGTAAACACTGCAGTCCTCTGTTGTGGTTATGGTGCACTAGCACCTTCCCATAGTGTTTTAAGAACAGTTTGACAATTTACCTAGGTCCCCCCAGGCGCCTACATTGCATCCAGCTGGGCAGTTTAAGGCAGATGTCTCGTCAGGTCTAACCATGGCTGAAATCAATGACAGAGAGCGATTCTAGGACAAATATTGGGTTTTATTCACTAAGTTGGAAATTGTAATACGGACGGCAAAGTATAGGCAAAGAATAACTAATCTCCAAATCATCTTTATCAGGGGTCCTCAAACTCCGGCCCTCCAGAAGTTGCTGAACTACAACTCCCATGATTCTTTGAATTACATAGATAGCCAGAGAATCATGGGAGTTATAGTTCAGCAAATTCTGGAGGGCCGGAGTTTGAGGACCCCTGATCTATATGGTCACAGCTTGGTAACTTCAGCCCACATTTTGCAATTTTTCCATATTTCAATTCGCTACATTTATGGTTTTAGTGAATAAAACCCCTGTTGTAATAGACATGAAGCTGCGTTACTCGGCCTCCTCCGGCAGGTGGCGCTGCTGGGATTCTCTATGATAGCTGAGGCGGTGGGACGCTCTAGCCCCGCGTTTCTCGTTTTCTTCCTGCAGAGCTCAGTGGCAGGCTCGCTTCCGGTGACCTTCCTGAGCGGCGAGTGATCGCACGGTGTGAGGTGGGTGACGTGCCCGGTGTGAGGTGCCTTCCATTACCGGCCCTGGGTAGCAAGTGGTGCTGGGTGGAGGACATACAGCTCGTTACCTGGGCCTTAACTCCTTATTGCCTCTAACCCATAACCCACAGGCTCCTCCAATTATATATGTGATTATTGTGTTTATCTCATTATATTATTATTATTATTATATTGTTTATTAATATTATATTTATTGTTTATTATTATTATACTGTTTATTATATCTGCTCTTACTGTGGGCATTGTTACAGGTCTCTATAGGTCAATAGCATTTCATTTCCTTACCCTTCAGGTTTGCCTTTCAGTTGACAAAAGAGTTACAAACTGTGGGTTAAAATAACCAAAATTTGGGGAAGAAATCCCCTTCCTTCCCCGAATGTTGGTTATTTTAACCCACAGTTTGTAACTCCTCTGTCAATTGAAAGGCAGACCTGAAGGGTAAGGAAATGAAATGCTATTGACCTATAGAGACCTGTAACAATGCCCACAGTAAGAGCAGATATAATAAACAGTATAATAATAATATAATGAGATAAACACAATAATCACATAGATATTAGAGGAGCCTGTGGGTTATGGGTTAAAAAAAAAAAACACAAAAAACCCACAGTTGAATGTGATGTTTTCTATTTACTGTACCTTGTGCAGTTTTGATTCTCTTTAAAATCAAAACTTTTGGGGGTTTATTCCTGGGGCTGTGAATTAATAGTAAATTCACACCATTTACTAATCATACTAGTAAATTGGAAATTAATTAGTGGAATTTTAAGATACAATAGCTGAATGAAAAAAGTTGAATTCCAAATTTTAAAAAAATGACTAAAATAATGTCCATCCTCTTGCATTCAATATTTTTTATTTTCCGAAGCGTTTTTTTTTTTTTTTAATTATTATTATTATGGAGTTTGCCCATAGACTTGCAGTATCATAATCACTACAATGTTCTGTTTTGTGTTGAAAGTGCTACTTTGAACAAATGCTGGGTATCTTTGATGTCCTGAAGTAATATGACTGTTTATGAAGGGAACACTCCAAGCGCCATCATCACTACAGTACGGTTTAGTTGTTATGGTTCCAGGAGTGCCCTGGTGACCCTTTCCAGAGTAATTAGTCAAGCCATTTGCTAGTGGTTTGACTGCACTGTAGTGGTTATGGTGCTTTGAGTGTTCCTTTAAAGAGCTGTGCATTAAAACCCAGTTGTCATAGAAATACAGAATATTTGTTTTCAAAGAATCTCTTTTCCTCTATTTTATGCAAATTTGTGACTGATAGTTGTTTTTTCACTTCTCCAGAAATGGCAGGCAAGGCTTTTTCAGCATGGTGGACCTTGATGAGGCCGTATTACACTAAAGCTTACCAAGAGATGTGGGTTGGTGTTGGCATCATGACAGTCCTCTATTATAAGCTGTCATATGGAGGTAAGCATGCTCTTATTAATACAATTTATCAGTTTTTAGTTGTTTTAATATTGCCATTTAATTTTGTTTGTGCAAAATCCTGATTCTTCTACGGATTCATTTATTTTACAGAATGTGTGCAGTGTATTCGTTTCTAAAGTCGTGTTGCTCTGAACACCTTTCCTTGTGGCAAAGTGTTTGCTAATACTTGCCAATAACAAAGGGTTATTAGTACTCTTGGGGTTACACTACATAACTATTCTTCTGAGTATTTTGAAATGTTGCTAGAGATAGGTTGGGAAGGAGACATCTTCTTGTGCGTTGCGCACATTATTCAATGTGGCTCTTGCAAGGTCTTCTATGGACCTATGTAGTTAAACTCTTGAATTAGGATATAGCGCGTTTGCAGGCTCCTGAAGGATGAAACACCAGGAACAGAGGATTGTGGCGCCTTTTCTCTTGCCACCGTACACCAAGCAATCATGTCACCTTCAGTGGGTCTAAGCAAAAATTGCAAATACCCTAGTGTAAATGGACTCTTATAGATAGCACAGCAACGATCCATTTTAAAGGGAAACTCGAGGCGCTATAACTTATTTTAGTGGTTTTGGGGGGGAAATATTCAGCTTATCATTTTACCCCTTAGAAAGAAATAATTATCCTTCCTTTTTATATGAATGAGTGTACTGAACGCCTCCGTTAGCTAGGCAACAGGTTGCGATCACTACCTCTGGTAAGCTAACAAAGCCAAAAATAGTAAGGTCCCACAAGGGGACACAAAAATAGAGCAAAAGAATGTCTCTGATTCGATTTATAAATATCATATATTTGATAATCCTAATTTACATTGGAAGGCATCTTTAACAAATTGCATCAAATTAGTATCCCCCTCCCCCCAATACCTTCCAACATTAGTTTAAAAGAACTCTATAGCGTTAAAAATACAAAACTGTATTCCTAACACTATAGTGTCCCTTCGGCTCTGCGGTTCCCCTGACTCTGTGATTAAAAGGTGAAAAAACTTCCAGCGCAGAGGTCAGACTCCTCCTGCGATGTCACGCCAATAGGGGAACCAAGTGAGCAAGCAAGGCAAGCACCATGCATGCAGTAGACCCTCCCTATAGTAAAACATTAAATCAGTGCTTTCCTATGGGGGTTTGAAGACGTTGGATGTCCTCAGGCAAACTGTAAGGACGTCCAATGTCATTTCACTGAGTAAAGCACCTCTTGTGGCTGTCTGGAAGAGGACAAGGACACTGCACCCAGACCACTTGAATGAGCTGAAGTGGTCTGGGTTCCTATAGTGTCCCTTTTAACTTAAAAATAAAATAAAGGATTATGCTTTATGCACATTTATTTATTTTTTAGCTGTCCAAATTTTGATAATTTATAGGTTTGAAGCACAAGGCTAATCAGCCCCTTTACCAGGGAGATGGTGAAGATGATGGATTTTATAAATGTCTGCTAGTCTTTGCTTTTACTAGCTGTTTGAGTTGAACAACAAATTTTTTTTAATTATAATACTTGTAAATCAGTAATGTGACATGTTAAGCAAAATGTATTTTTTTTATTTATTTATATATTTCAGGATAGGAAATATGTCTAACATGTATTTTCTTTTCTTCTCAGGCAAAAAAGCTGTGAAAGACAGTAAGTACTGCATCCCAAAAGCAACTTCTGTATTAACAAAATCTAGTTACAGATACCATTATAGAGCTACTGAATGCTAAAAATGACCTAAATTTCAATATTCTGTTAAATAACTATATCCTTGTTTTTTTTTTTTTTTTTTAGAAAGATATTTATTTTTGAGTGGCTTAATGTTTTGTCCTTCAGCTTGACTCTGTTGCGGTTACCTTTTAAACCTTTTTCTTTTAAATTTTGGTTTGTGGTGGTTATACTAGAAATGCACTGTTTTCTATCTGTTACATCGATTTCCAATAAAGCTGTACAATTGATCCTTGTAAACCTGCATTCACACAGTACTACATTCTTTGCCTTGCTCAGAGTACTACTGTGCTTTCAGCTTGGCAGGTAACAGTGCTGTTTGTATGCTGACAGTACAGTACAGTACAGTGCAGTTTAGGGACAGAGTGAACAGATACAGCTCTAGTGGTTACATTGCTTTAATACTCCTTAATTAGAAAGTATACTTGTCATGTGTACCCCTTTTCCACCCCCCCATAGTGCATTTTATAGATAAGGCATTAAAAATGCAATACAATGAAAATAAATAAATAAAAGAAAAATGTTCTAATCAACAGCAAGTCGCTGTAGAAACTAGGATTAAGTGGAACTGATAGATGAGCAGTTATGCTGATTGGTTATATCTCAAGCAATAGGGAAAATCAACCACTGCTCAGGGATGGTGGTGAGCTACACAGCTTGGAATGAGCGCGCCCATGGTATTATGTATATCTTCGCCAATATCTAAAAATGAGCAAGCTTACAGGTTTAGGGGTTTGCGTGTAAAATCATGGATGAATAGTGACAAAGATGACCGGTTACAATATTTCCTTGGTTGCATTTCATATAAACTATTTTAACAAGAGCTCAGAAGTGCAGAATCTCAACAACTGAAAATGTTTTTTGTTTTTTGTTTGTTTTCAGAATCTTCCGGCCATGGTCACTAGATGATCCATTAATTCTCTGAAACAACTCGAAGTACCTACAGCAAGCTGAAATTGGACGACAATGGGAAAACAAACATTTTATTTAATAAAGACATATTTCACCGTGGATTTTTAGAACTTCAGTGTTTTACTTAACTCTTATTTTATACCTGCTCGTAAGCAAATTGTTTTTAAATGTAGTTTTCTGCTTTATTTTAGAGGGTTACTCTAATCATCATAAACACTAGAGCCCACTATAGTATTTATGATGCCAAAATTCCCATTAGCAATGATTTGCCCCCTTATGAGTCCACACTTTGTGTGCAATGAAGGTTGGATGATGACACCCCAGTGACACTGACAGAGGTGGAGTTACTGCTCTGGCAGCAGAGAGGCTAAATTCAGTATGTGCCGCATTTCACAGTAAAATTCTGCACATACAGATTTCAGGCACCATGACCTTTTCAAATCGTTGAAGTGGTCATGGTGCTTGGAGAAGCCCTTTAACTTTGGATGTGCTGTAATGTAGTTCCACACGCTCTGTGAAAAGTGTTTCTGTTGCTGGTAGTGTGTACCTATTTATTTATTTAAAAATTTGCTTTAGGGGACTCAAATGTGTTGCTTTCAATATATAAAAGAGGTGTAAAAGTGTGTACCTTTCCTTTGTGGCAAATTCTTCTGCCAGTCATCTTGGAGGATTTTCTAATACTAGTAAACCACTTCCACCTTCTCCCTTTAGTTTACAAATAAAAAAATCTTCAAATTGCAAATGGGACATTTCCTACTAATATTACACATTATATTAATTTGTAAGTTTAATGAATGGTAAAATGAATGGGGTTGGGGGAAATACAAAATCCAAATTGGAAATAAATGGTTAAAAGACGGATTATTGTGTATATATGTAAAGGGGGTTGCAACAGTTTTATAATTAAAAAAAATAAAATAAAATAATAATAATTAATAATAAAAATGTTGCACATGCAGTAGAACATGCTAGAACACCCCTCCCGTCCCCAGTTTTCTTTTTCAAACTTGGTTATTGGCGTGTTCAACCAGTAGGTGTCAGTGTGTCAACATCCAGCCTGTTAACCAAATTTCTGAAGTTAAGAATATTGAAAGGTAAAAGATGAACATCTGAACTTCTTTTCGGGGTTGGGGATGATGTTACACAGCTTAAAAGAGACTTGCGTCCATCAAGTTCAGCCTTCCTCACATATGTTTTTGCTATCGATCCAAAAGAAGGCAAAAAACAGACGGAAGCTCTTCCAATTTTGCAACAAACTAGGAAAAATATTCCTTCTTGACCCCAAAATAGCAGTCAGATGTCTCCTTGGATCAAGCAGCTATTACCCCAATAATTAGAAATGATATCCCTGTATGTTATGTTTTTGCAAGTATTTATCCAATTGCAGTTTAAACATCTGTATGGACTCTGATAAAACCACCTCTTCAGACAGAGAATTCTGTATCCTTATTGCTCTTACTGTAAAAAAAAACCTTTTCTTTGCCTTAAGATGAAATCTCCTTTCTTCCAGCCTAAATGTGTGACACTGTGTTCTATGAAGAGCCCTGTTTATGAATAGATTTTCAGATAATGGTTTGTATTGGCCCTGAATATTTTTGTATAATGTTATCATATCCCCTCCTTACGCCAATGTTCTACCCAAGAACAAGAATATTCATCTAGATCAGCGTTTCCCAATTGGTGTTCCGCCAAAAAATTTGAAAATAAAATGCCGAGGGAGCAGTGATCTTCCTGCTCAGCGCCCTTGCACACACAGCACTGATGCCGGAGCCAGAATATGACGTCACTCCAGCATAGCTAAGAGGCACGTGAGGGAGCTGAGCAGGGAGATCAGAGCTCCCTCACCGCCCGCCTCCACCGCTCACCTGTCTGCCAGACCTCCTGACCGCCAGCCAAGCTGCAGCCATCCCCACTGAACCATAGGGACTCCATGCCACAACTCCTAAAGGTAGGGGGCTGGGGATGGAGTAAAATGTTAAAAAGAAAATTGTGTGTGTGTTTGTCAATGAGAGTGTATATGTGTTTGTAGGTGTCTGTCAAAGAGTGTTTATCAGTGAGAGTGTATGTCAGAGTGTGTTTGTCAGTGAGTGTGTATGTGTCAGTGTGTATCTGTGTGTCAGATACATATACACACTGACACAGTTACACACACTGGCGTGTGCAAACAGATATACAAACACAGCTACACACTGTGTCAAGGTTTGTGTATCTGTGCGTCAGATTCATACACACTGGTGCATACAAACACAGATACACACACCTTGATACAGACACATACAAACACAGATACACACACTTTGAAATGTACATACATACATACACACACACACCGATGCACACTGTGTGCCAAGGTGTGTGTATATGTGTGTCAGATTCATACACACTGGCACATACAAATACAAATATGTCAAAGGGTTCCATGGGAATAATTAACTTAAATTGATCTAGACCAATTTTTTTGTTTGAATACTAACCTATTGTGAGGAACCGTATCAAATGCCATGGCAAAATCCAAGTAGATCACATCCACTGCAACACCCTGATCTATACTTCTACTTACTTCTTCGTAGAATGCAATTAGGTACGTTTGACTATGTAACTAATTATTCTCTACTGCCCCAGACTCCTTTTTGTTTTTTTGATACAGGGAGAAAGCTGTGGATATCATATAAATTCTTAAATAGCTGGTAAATATGGCACATGTTATTCAAAAGTACCAATTAGTTTTATGAACATGCAAGAATGAAGCTAGTATGCCCGCAAACAAGACCCATAGTAGACCTATTAACTGGCTGAATAATTTAATTCATGTTTTTTTATGAAGGGAGATATATGATGCTGCAGCACAGACTTCCATGCCATATGAGTAGTTAGCCAAAAATAAAAAGTTTTCAAAATCAATAAATAAAATGTGCTGTATTTGTCTGACATTTTTTTTATCACTAGTTACAATTACTTCATATACCATTGATTATGTGCCTATTCGAATAGAATAATTAGCTCAAAGTGTATAATTTATTTTCACTCCAGTATATAAAAAATATTTCTTGGGGGCGGGGCCTGACCGTGGAACAGAGAAGACGTTAACCACAATAGCTCCTGAGAACCACGGCCAAAAAGCTGACTTTTCAAGCCAAAAAGGCAATCAATCGGGCTAGAATGGCCACCCAGAGTGCAGTGACACGGGGGGGTACATGTGGATACCAAATAAGCGGCATACCGAACCCCGTTCACCCGACACGAAGGTGAGGCCTATCTGGATGACGGAAGCTCTCCTAACGCCACGACCGACCAAGCTTCAAGCCTTGAGCTCCTGTCCCCCCGCGCCCCCACGGACTTGTGGGGGTTATCCCGGTCTATCCCCACAAGATACCCTTGCAAAGCGATGTGAAAGCGACGACTATAACGAGACCAACACTATGTTGAGGCATTGTCAGCTTTTATGTGATTTCATGCACAATAAAAATAAAGAATTAAAAAATATATATATATTTATTGTGTTGTTAACATGTCTTTCAAAGTTATTCACTGAATTGAAAATTGCAAATGTAAATCTAAACTAGCTGAATTGTAAAAACTCCAAGTCCGTTTTGCTTCCAGTTTGTCTATTTTACTCTAAAACATTATTTCACTTTGAATTCCTGGTTATTATCATTATAATGGATAACCAATCCATACTTTTCCCACAGAAACACACATATTATACTACGACTGGCCAGACGTAATGTCTGTAAGAGCCTCATGTTAACATTTAGAAAAATTCAAGAGCGCAATTAAATGTATTGGAGTATTTAACAGAACCAAATAGTGTCCCATGTGTTTCATTCCTCCAGCCCTCTCTTCCACCCCCATGTGTCAGTTTACTTCCCATGTGTAGTGTGGCCAAGCTGCAGAGGAGTTTGATTCCCTCCCCCTGGTCTGACGGGAACCTGACCCGCAGGAGGTAGTGTTGTGCAGTGTGCTGACCACCTACCAGTCAGCTGGGCCCTAAGGTGGCCTCCGGTGCTGCCTTATGGTAACTCTGGGCCCGAAAAGTTTCATGATCTGCATTCGATCGTCTAAAGAACCGCAGTTTGGCCACGTCTCTACTGTACTAATTCAAACCTTGTGATCTTTTGAATAGTCATCATGTTTCTCTCTCCCTCCCCGTATACATTTGTTTTTAGATTTTCAAGGTACAAAGATTACGTGACAGTCAAAGTGATGGACATTACAGTTAAAATCACAAGTAACATCAAGGTAAACACTCTACGTTTGTGTCAGATCCTAGATATAATACTGTACATCCTCATTACCACACCTTGACCATACAGCAAAAAAAAAAAAGAAAAGAATAAAAACGCAGAATGGGGTAGAAGCAAAAGTGATGGTGGTAGGGAAGAGGCCCCAGGGAGTTCCACTATGAAAGGGAAGGTTGCTGTGTCCATGAGTGGCAAACTCTCTCAAATTTTGCTTAAGGCCCTCAGTAGTCAGAATTCTATTTGTAAAATTTGGTAGTATGCAGTGTGAATTTCTTGAATTGGCAGAGGGGTGGTAGATTTCCACTGCTAAGCTATCATCAACTGACTGAAACCAACACGTGTGGAGTAAGTATCTTTCCATAGAGCCTTCTAATGCAGGAAGAAATATTCAAAAGAGAACTTCAGGAAAGAATGTTCGTAAGAAGTAAGCAGAATGGTGAATCTCTAACCTCCTTCAGAAAACATGAAGGGATCATAACTGTAATATACGCAACATTGTGCTGGTGTCTTGGCTGCATTGCAATCACAGTGCAGCAATGATAAATAGTTACCGGCGCAAGAGGAGTTTCTCTACTCGTTTCCAAATGGTTTTTACATCATGTGGGATGCAGCTTTTCGGCAAATGTCCATTGTAACTCCCTGTTTCCATTGGTATGTATAAGGACATTTAGCAGTAGAAGCTTTAATTGTCAATCATATGTTGAGGTGAGTTTTGTGATTCTCTTGCCAGAATAAACTAGTTTCTTGAATGGATTCAGATCTGAGGAGGTAATGGAGGAAACTTTCTGAGGTATAGGGTATGCTTTATACATTATGTGGATAGTGAGAAAATGTCTAACAAACCTGCAATCAATTTTGCCATGTTTGGAAAGCTAATTTTGCAGGGGATAGAATTGTTCGAAGGTTAGGTAGATTAGTCTTTGGTGCCAATAACAGATATAACACGTAGGAGTATGAATGCATTGTGAACCACCATGGAACCTAGTCTAACATGGCACCAAGGACAGAGTCTGAGCCAAAGATGTGACAGTATGATACCTTTTTATATTGGGATCTCTTGGGTCTCTCAACTTTGAGGGTAGCCAACACATGGCAGGAGATACCCTGGGGTTTTTATATTTGAGTTGTTGAAATTGGGAGGAGCTATCTTAATCCCTTAAGGACCAAACTTATGGAATAAAAGGGAATCATGACATGTCACACGTCATGTGTCCTTAAGGGGTTAAAGGTATTGAATAGGTACAAAATCATAGAAAGTATAGACATTTTAACAGAATGTAGTCTACCCAGCCAGGTCAATTGAAATTATGGCCAAGAAGAGTTGCTTGGAACGTCTGAAGAAGTTTAATTTGGTTAAGCTTGGTGGCTACATGTTGGTGAGTGCCTAAGTATGATATGGCAGTGGCTTTCAAATTAAAACCATGGGTGTCCTTTAAAGAGTGCATCATGACTTTTTAATTGTTGAAGGGGTGAACACTACATAATGCAGAAGAGGCCAAAAGGTGTCTCCTCAGCTGTTGTACAGTAATGAGTTCTAAAGCAACATGGCATCATGGGAGTTGTAGTTTTTAATTCACCTTCTTACCACCCCTGGCTTAGGGACCCCAGAGATGTTATTTGGACATGAGCAGTTATTATCTAGCTTTAACACCACTCTTAGATTATTTTCTTAGATTATTTATCGCCCCTTCACAAACTGCTGTTTTTTGCGTCTGAAAATTCAAGATCGTTTGAGAAAAGAATGTGAAGTAAAGTCACTGAAGAGTTAATGTTTATGAATTATGACAGCCCTTGTAATGAATGGACTAATTCTATAACCTGTGGCAAATCTGCATAACGCGTGACACAGCAGTGTCTCTCCTGGGCCCGCAGGTAAGATTGTGAGTAAAGATGATTACTATTTATTTGTAATCATTTAACATTCTTTACTAATTACATTTCTTTTTCCAGACATTTGTCGTTCCTGTTTATGGATCCACCCATCGACCTTATCTCAAGCACTTGGATATATAGAGCTATATATAACTCCTTTCTTTAAGACAATGTTTCCAGGTGGTGTGAAGGCGGCAGGCGGTCTACTGACTGTAAATTATTTGTGTAAACTGATACAATACACTCTGCACTGACAACAGGTGAAATATGGCTTTGCTAATTCTCTTTTAGTGCCAGAGGCCACAGTCTAGCATACATCTCAAGTGTCCCTGTTTAGAGGTAATTTGTGTTGAGCTGGTCTTATATTGAGTCCATCTGGCTAATATGGATATGTAACCTCCGTACGACCGCTAGCTAGTATAAGGATAGGATTTTATTAATTTGTCTTACTATCTGAAATTAGAAAATCAGTGGATTGAACCATCCCTGAACTAATCTAGGTCATACAAAATTGTTAAGGAACGAACTATTAACTTATATAGTTCGCATATAACCTGGAAAGTCTGCCTTCACTGTCCTCCCTCGTTTGGTTAATAGGAGGTGAGGGAAACAAATTCAGGCTGTCATTGTATTCCTCAATCAATGTGCATCTAGGGTTTGTTTGGATGGTAATTTATTGCGAGGGGGCCCTAGGACCCCAGATAGAAAAGGGGACCCAATAGTATGTCCCTCATATTAATGCACATTGTTTGCTTTAAGGTGCAGACCACCTAGTGGATAGGTATACTCATGAGTTCCTGTCACCTAAATTTACAAATAGATATTTTAACAGTGGGATACTACCAAAGATATAATTTTGGGGGGGCGGAGCCTGACAACTGAACCGAACGGACGCACAATAGTGGAGCTCCCGCTTGGATACTCATAATCCAGCCGATTTGGGAGCACCCGATACCGACCTTGGTCACAGACGCTGGGTCTAAAACCAGGACAGCCAGCCGAAGCCGCCGATGCCGTTTTTTCTTGCGCCCGGCTCCAAAACACGACGCAGAGGCGGTAAGGCCTACCACGCGGGCGGACGGCAGAGAGACTCAGAGGAGGGAATCTGGCCCTGGGGCTCACCTGCTCTGGAAGACTGGTACCACAGCCTGCCACACACAGGTGAGATGGGGCGCAAGTCTCAGAAACCATCCACACATACCCCAAGGCCCCAGCGCGACATAGGCCAGATGTTGCAGGCCCCAAGTGCAGCGCAGACCACGTCCCATCGGGACTCCTCTCCACTGCCCTCAGAGGAAGGAGAACCACCTGATAGCCCACTCACTCCATGTCATGCAGCTCCCCCACGGGTAATGGAGGATAATGCCCCAGCATCCAGGAGTGATATCCAGGCCATGCTGACAAGCCTGCAACAGAACCTCAGGCAAATGTGGGAGGTTGACCTGGCAGTGCTAAAAGGGGATGTACATGCTGTGACACTACGTACACAAGCCACAGAGAATGAAGTGGAGACCCTGAAACAAGGCCTACAAGAGCTGGGGGAGAAAGTACAAAAACTAACCACCACACAGACTACCCTCTCCAGACAAGTCAACCTACTGGACGACAGGGGGAGACGCAAAAACGTCAAAATCAGAGGGGTGCAGGAATCCATCCCACTGGAGGAACTACCACATTTCATCAGACGCCTCGTAGCTGCACTACTTCCAACCAGACAAGCCAAAACCTTCTTATTCGACGGAGTCTACAGAATTGCGAAATCCCCGCAGGCACCAAGCGCAGCACCGCGAGACATCATACTACGGTGCCAGTCTATGTCAGACAAATTGGGACTTTTAGCAGCGCTCCAGGGAAAGACTCCTATAGAATTTGAGGATTGCCGATTATCCTTTTTTCAAGACCTGAGCAGAGCCACACTACTATGGCGCAAACAAATGCAACCACTTACTAAACCACTCCACGCAGCAGGCATTACCTACAAGTGGTCGACTCCGGGGACCCTATGGGTTACCAAAGACAACAAACATTACAAGGCCACGGATCCCTCTGAGGGCCCAGCTCTAATGGCGACATTGGGACTCCCAACTCTGCCGACAACTTCAACGCCACTGCCAGGCCACCGACCCAGGAGGGTTGAAGCAACAACAACGGCTACACCCAGACCCCATGGAGACACCAAGTCCTGAAACGACGCGCTCGGTCTGGGACTTTTGGACTTTTACTGAGACTCTCTTACTAAAATGTTTAGTTACGCTTACAAGCGTTAGTATTACTGGTTCACCTCTTTCTGTTATAGTGGGATAGCGACCTATTGG